TCCATATATATTCATACAAGTGCTTTGCTTGAAATATAATATATAATAAAATGCCTTTCCTTCCTCAATGGTTTCGTAAAAAACATCGCCTGCATTATTATTGGAGCGAATGTATTTTATATCGATTTCTCCCTTGATTGTCAATGAATAATAAATGTTAAACTTTTAATATATTTCGATTTTTTTAAATATATCTATTCAGATATTATGCTCACCGACATGCACGATCTCCTTAACAAACTCCTCCGCGAGCATCCGGAGGTGTGGCGTTCTTGCCGGACATCAAAGAACGGAATCTACGATGAATTGGCGCGCAGATTTAACGAAAAATCAAACCGTAGAGTAACTGTCACGTGGCTTGCAAAGACCCTAGACCGAATCAGAAGAACGATAAAAAAAATTGAGGAAGGGTCGTCCCGTACCGCTCTTACCGCATATGCGTGGTATGCTGAAGAGCTGGGATATAAGAAGGCAGCTGCAACCATAAGGAGTTATAAATATAGATCTTTCCAACATGGTGGCAAATGTTGCAACCGATTTAACCACCACCAACAAAAAAACATCACAAGCTAACGTAGTTGGTATTGGTGTAACTTCCGCATCAAATATTGACGGGGTAACCAAAGTTTCAATCGATTCAAAGAGTTCATCGAACGATTCGACAGTAAGATCTACATCGATAATATCATCTAAAAGCAACCCGTGTTGGGATTTAGATGAGGACTATGACGATTTATGAATTCTCCCCTACTATTGTTCTTCTCTCTCCCCTTCTGCAGCAACGGACTAAGTTCAAATGAACTGATGACTTTATATCTTCAATTATTATTATTATTATTATTTTTTTTTTTGTAGTTTTTAATTATCGCTGGATATATTAAAAACATTTGTAAAAATTCTAGAAGTTGATGTAATTGTAATAAGTAATAGAAAGAAAGAAGGATGGTTTGTAGCGTCCGGAATCAATTCGTAAAGATTCTAAAAAAATGCTGCATTCTTGATTAATGTAAGATTCTGTGATTTAACTGGACTCATATGTCCACACAACGGTATCAAGTTCTTGAAATTCTCGAAGCTTTAACCCGATAACCCCTAATAACAATGTGCTCAAAGCATGCGCAAGACATGAATGAATCTGTGTTTTTCGTTGGTATGGTATTAAGATGGAATCTGAAAATGATTGAAATTAAATCAAAGTTTCGAAAGGTTTCTTCATTAAGACTTTAGAGAATAAGCATATACAATTATCAAGAATTTTGCATGTATTGTACGACTTTAGAGAATAAACGCATATTCGTTCTCAATAATTCAAAAGGCCTTTGTAAAAAAGCCATCGATGCGAGATTAAATTAAGGTTGTATGTGCATTTTCACAGAGATGTATCAACACAACGTTTAGTTTTCTACTCAGTCTCGCACGAGTTCTTATGCAGTGAGGATGTGCTGACGGAATTTTTTCGCAAATATAGCAATATAGCAATGCATTGAGTAAAGATGTATGTGCATTTACACAGATGTATAACAATGCTTCAACTGCAATTGACAAGATTCTCATACAGTACCGCTCGAGTTAATAATATGAAGAAAGCCTTTTGTAAAGAGTTTTGAAAATATTTGAAAAGGCCACGATTATCGTTAAGAGTTTTTCTCGGAGATGGCAGGCAAGCGGATAGCGTAACTTATATAAAGGCATGAACATGCTTAAGATTACTCTGTGAAAACAATAACTGCGCTTACTCAACTTAAAAAAGATTACAGAAATGGCTATAAAATGCGACAGCCGGGAAGGTGTGGTTACCATTTCACAGACAAGGGCAGAAGAAAAAAAAGAAAAACGAGAAGTAAAAAATCTCAGCCTTTACAGAAGTTGTTGTTTGTATTGTTTTTTCTTCTTTTGTAACGACGTTCATAGCATTGTCAATCACACCAAACAATAAAACCGATTTGAGACCTTTTTCACACATTCGTTGGTTTTTGATAACAAAATGTAGCTGCAAGAAATTATTCATTATCTTGACCTTAATTAACTCCTTGGTAGTACAGAGAAGGACTCTTTCGGAAACGGGCCATTCACCAGATATGACATTGAGATTATGTTGAAGAGTTGAGGAGGACAGTCCAGTACAGCGTTTTAACATTCGATTTTCAAATGTTTTTATACGTTTCTCAATATATTTTGGGAAATTACAAGATTGAGAATGTGTAAATTTAATCTTAGACCTAACTAAAGCTTTGACTTTTGTACACAGTCAAAGCTTTCTTTGGTAGGCAAGCGTGACTAATTGTTCGTCATGTACTACTGATATTGCATCCAGATTGACATTCTTTGAAGGCGTCCTCCTTGGGTTTGCAGAACTTTCACATATGTTTCTATCTACCGCACTTAGAGTATTACTTTAGAGAGGGTACCAAGTACTCCACGGGTAGATTGCAAAAATTAAATTTGATCACTTTAGGGTAGGCTTTCATCATTGTTTCTAACAAAGTTCCTAGCATAACGAGCAGCGCTAAACATCGCAGCAACTTGGTGGCCATCTACCTTCATCAACATGTGAAATTAACTGTGCGGTAAATTTCTCGCGCAACAACGCCAAAGCCATGCATGTTGTGTGGCCAGTGGCACCGTCCTGTTGAAACCGTGCGTATTAAATTTCATTTTTTTTTTTTTATTTATTTATTTATTTTTTTTTTTACCCATCTATACATGAAGTTCAACTAAAGAAAATTACAGTCGAATTCAGTGCATCTTAATAGAAAATCTGTCACTAATTGTTTTAAAACTAGCATACAATAAAAAGGAAGAAAAAAAGAACAATAATAATAATAGCAATGTAAGCTTAAAAATGAATGAAAAAGTTAAAAATGATAATTCATGTATAAATAAATAAAAAGAGAGAAAAAAAAAAAAACATGCTCCCAGCTAGCATAGCAACATTTCTGGTCCAGTTTCTTTCAATTTCTTAGTTTTACTAGCAGTGCGTGCAGATGGATGATTGTGTGCACCGTAATCTTCTCCCAAAACACGAAAAGTACCTGTTACAGAATCAGTACTTTTGCTTCATATCGTAAGATGCCACAATCTTTTCTAAAAATTGTAACTTTAATAACAGTCTAAAGTAAAACAGACAGAAAAAATCTCACACGTAGAACAACCCATGACAAATTTATTCGTCGTTTTAAAATTAAAAATTACAATAAATCGTAAAAGTGGTTATCTTTTCTCATGGTTTGCCAATTAAACTACCAAATGTGAGACATCACTGGTATACCCAGGTGAATAACGTGGAGGCAGCAAGTTTATGGGCTGACGATTTTTATTTAATAATGGCAGCGGAGCATGTATTTTAGGGGAATGCTTCAGCTTCGTAGTTTCTTCCAAGCAGCGTCTTGATCTCAAAGCATCCATGTCGCCGGTCCAAGCATTTTCTGGTCCGCGATGACCACCCAAACGATGATAACGGCGTTTATCGACGGCATAACTAATAGTGCCAGTATGTGAATTAAGACCAATATTATATTGACGTTGCATAGCCAAAGAAGCTCGTATAGTTTTACGTTTCTTATGAAATATGAAACTTAAAGATTGTTATTCCAACTCAAAAGAAAGAGAAATTTACCTCTATGGTTCCACGCCACTTTCCAGCTGCATGGCGAGCTATATCTAAGCGTTTTTGTTTTTTTACCTGGTGCCTTTTATAGATGACTTCGATGATTATAAGGCCTACCCCAATTGCTACACCAGCCGCAACTAAAATAAACACGCCGGCCATATTTTTCAAACCTAAAGTGTTGGGTGTTTTTTCAAATTGTTCACATTGTTGGGCGTTGCCATGAAATATCCAAGCTTTGTCTAACGCTTCCATGAAACCGCCTAAAATTAAGTGAAAGTGGCCTGTTAATTGTTAAATGAAGTTGCATTTGCTTACTTTCATGAAACTCTAAAATGGCCAAAGTAACGGCATCTGTCCAAGGGGAGCCTTTCTGCAAACCTATGCCATAACCACTGCGACCAAAAAGCTCACCTGCTGTAACCAATTCACAATCTTTAGAAGCTTCATATTCCAAGCGCGATGAATCCCAGATAAAAGCCATGAGCTTTCTAATAAATGATTTTTGAATGCAAATTATACTTATTCTTATGGCCATAGAATGTTTAGAAACTTGCCCTTTCTTAACATCTTCTATGGCCTGTTCAGCCGTGTCATAATTATTGGCTTCCATGGTGCGGTACATATTTGACAATTCGACTTGTCGTCTAAAGTACATGTCCACCGACGACCCTTTAACTGTGGCACACGTTAAATTTTCCATTGTATTGCGTAAACGGGCATCATTTATCCCGCTCAGCTTGGTTTTTGGACGTTCCAAAACAAGGAACGCTGCTAAATTTGCGGTATACGAAGCTACGATGATCATAGCAAAGCCCGCCCAAACCATACCTAAAACACGTGCAGAAAAGCTGCGCGGTGTGCCCTCGCCGATACCGCTATTCAGCAACACACCCCAAGCAAACCAAACAGCTGAGCTAAGATTCAAGGGCTTCTCTTCATGACTGTCCGCATGAGATAATTTGAAACGACCGAAAGGAGAGAATCTTATGGGCGGTATAAGAGAGAAACGGCCATAGGAGGATAAACTGCTTATAAAAGCGAAATATAGTGTCATGTTACCTTACCTGTCGAGTAGGTATAGAACCAAGGCGACCACATGAACTGACACCATTACCAATATCCAAAGAGTGTTACTAAATGGTTGTAAAAAAGAAACTAAAGTACTCGAGCGTGACGGCTTCTTTTCAAGTATCGTAATTCCTTGATATTTAAATGGTTTTGAAAACTCAATATATTCGGCACGCTCTGGATTAATAGTTAACGGTGCTACAATCATATCTGCTCGCTCATTAACTAATTCGCCTATTAAGCCAGTCCACTCTTTCCGTGGAGGTGAGGGAGGTAAACTACTGCTGCTCGAATTCTTTAGTATATAATGACCGAATTGTCCGTCCGGCGACAAGGCCAAATTATAAGTAAAATTAATTCGTTGCGACAAAGCTTTTAAAAGGTCAATGCAATAACCGCGGCAGCAAAAATCGTTTTCTGAAAAACCGAGTCAAGCAAAGATTAAACTCAGAGCAACTCAAGGAGTTGGTTAGCTCTTTCGGCTTCGTACCTATTCCATTCGAGGTATTAAAGAGTGGACATGATACCTCGTCTTCCATACATTGTACCTCATCATCGGTTAAGTGCCGAACGTAAACAAAGGGTTTTTCCTGTATGGTCAAAACTTTTAGATGGGTGGGTATCATAATTCCTTTAGGCTTCTTTTTTTGTTTACCAGGCCAAATTACTTGGCTATCATTGATATTTAAGCGCATGGTAGCTTTCCCCTGCGAATACGAAAATCATAAAGCTTCTCTTTTACTTATTTATTTATTTTTTTTTTTTGAGAAAATTTGTAGTTACAGAGTCATAATAGAATTTTCCGACTGGCAGCTTCTTTTGTTTGGCTCGTATATTAATGACGTCATAACCAGCATATATGCGATCGCCGTTATCATCAAAGGCCACTTGTCCGGTTTCGCCCGTGATATTACGCGTTTTAAGATAATGAAATAAACGTTTACCTGTATTAAAATTGAAAAGGAATGGGAACACGTCTTGTTTATCAAGTTAATTATTGAAGAGTTAAGATTAATTAATAAAAATAAAATAAAATTTGGGCGAACGCTTAACCAAAAGCATGTCAACTTTCTAAGAAGGGCATATAATTATAACGCAGAAGAAACTACAATGGCAGCGACCACTGTCTAAATAGTATATAGTAGCCAGCGTCAAAAATTGAAGGTAAAAGAATAAAAAAGGCAGGAACTTAGCAATTGAGAACGAAAATAAAGAAGCGCATTTTTTAATCAAGCCATGGACAGAAAGGACATTTCAAAACTTTAGACTCCTTTTCTCAGGCCAGCAAAGAGCATAACTCATAGAATGTTTGATGATATTTTTAGAATAGCATCCTACAAAGGAGCACGTGTGATATATTTGATAAGATAATTTGAACATTTTTGTTTTTGCTTGAAACTTGGAGTTTTTCGTTCGTTGTTAAATTATGTAATACCCTTTTTTTAAGATAGGGCTCTCACCACTAGATTGTGCGTATTCTTTTCTTTTCCGCTAATCGTTTTCATCGGCCGGCAACCGCGCATGTGCATTTGGTTTTTCGCTCTTTAGGGAATTTATTATTTGGAAAAATTAATTAGCTGAAATTAACTGGATTTGGTACTTCTGTAACAATATCATTTCTTTTTATACCCATCACCGAAGGACGAAGGGGGTTTGCAATGCCCAGAAAGAAGCGTCAGAGACCCCACAAAGTATATATATTCTCGATCAGCAACAAATTCTAAATCGATTTAAGCAAATCCGTCGGTCTATCGATTCGTCCGTCCGCAAAAATGAAGTTATCGACTTCTAATTTAGCAGAAACATTGGTAGTTCCTGCTCAAACGACACGCCCACAGCACCACGTAGACCGAGAACATGTTCATGTGCCTGTTTCCAATCTGAAATGCATCTAAAAATATCTGCCTGTTCGTCTATCCATCTGTCTGTTTGCGTAAATTTGTAGTACTTGTGGTAAACGCTCTCCTATTAGCGAAAATGATATCACATACAAATTTCTAAAAAAGTTTAGAATCGACCTACATTTTTCAAAGAACACGCCTACAACGCCGACACGCCTACGCGACAAAGACTTTTATTTTGAAAATAGAAAAAATCAGCTGCGCCCACTCCATATTATAGAGCATGAAAATTTCATTCTTTCACTTCTTTTGTCTTTCTTTGCGGTAAAATGAATGGGCGACGGGTATAAAGGTTTCTCCTCCGACAGAATTTAATTTTTTTGTTACCTTGCGGTGTATTTTTTCTGTACCGATATTTGATTTTTCAAGTATGAAGGAAATAAAAAGGACACATAGAAAGTATCTTCTTTGAGAACGGTGCTAAGCAGACAGGTATATTCATGAAAATATTGATTCGTATATAATCATTTAAATATGTTTAAGCTACGTCTGTTTGTTGGATTTCAAAATTCACTCTGGCTACAAACGCTGTCTTTAATCTTACAGTTGTTGTCTTTGCTGTCGGGGAATAGGTATTACCATAATTATTATGTTTTCATTACTAAAGCGTTTAGTTAACTTGACACAGTGGTGAACCGTACTAGAAGTGGGTTGTATTCGACCACTTTTTCAATCCTCCAATGAAGTAATTTTTAACTCACTTAATGAAGTGGGCTGACTCATTTTGTCAACACGTTCGCATCACCCAGAAGGAAGCTGGAGAGGAGAATGCGATAACGCCTGTTGGTTATAATATAATTATGATGGATGTTTAATGCATAAAGCCATGGGGTGTTTAAAAAAATCTGATTTCTTGAACATTAAAGTCTTATGTGTTTATGTGGTGGTTACGCGAAATTCGGCCCCCGCCGATTATAACTTTCTTACTTGTTTTTCTTCTTCTGGATAGTTTGCAAATTAAATAGGTAATAAAGCATTTCACATTTGCACATACTTTAAGGAGGAATTATTCATCGCACTATTAGGTGCAGATATAATGGTATTATATGGTTTCGTAAATTTACCTGATTCCCAATTTACTCCAGAATCATCACAGTTTTTTGGAGGTTCAGTGATAGTTTCATTCGTCATCATTTCCTTAATAGCTGAGGCGAGAACATATACAGAGTCCTAAAGAAAAGATATAGGAATTTAAGACCAAACAATTTTGATCGCGATGTAAGTAAAAATTCCAAATAGATTTTAATGATTATTTTAACAAGGATCTTCTCATATGATTTTTATTTAATGAAAATTTTCCTAATTGCCCCGTTTCAATTTGTTCTCTTTCTCTTTGAAGGATGCACCCAAAAACGGGCGTAATTTGCTCGACTTAGAAATTCATATATATAATATATATATATATACGTCAGAGCGATGACAAAGGTGTAAATATGCAGAGTTTGCATTTGTGTTTCGCAATAGCTTTGCAAGACGTGTAGATTCACTCAAGAACAAATTGATTTAAGTGCTTACATATGGTAAGAACAAGATCGTGCTTTAGCTTAGACCTTGTGGGCTGCTAATAGATGGAGAAGATCATAAAGCACTTGTCACTTTGACAGTAAATGAAGTTAATCTCACTCGAATATGACGATTATCGCTGTTGGCGTGCTCCAGTTGTAAGCCCAACACTCCGTCAGGCGTATTATTGGCACTTAAGGCTTGTTCCGTTACGAACCATACATGTCCGGACTCTGTCATATTATAATTTCCAGCATCGCGGAATATGATCTGAGCATCTTCAGTGCTAAGATTTGCAAAAGAACTTACAAGCAGATCTAGATATTGACATATTATTGTGAGTACCTAGCATACAATAAATAGACTCGGCTTTGAGCAGTTTTCATGTCATCTAAGTGTTCCATAAAACTTTCCAATTTTGGTTCAAATTCAACAATTAATTCGACAGTGGCACGTACGTCAATGTCATCGTAATAGTTTTGAGAAGTAGTTTGGAAACGACCGAGTATAGCGCGACCATCGGTGTCCGAACTATGGATAATGATGACCTGAAATAGACTACTTTAAGTATGCAAATGTAAAGTAATAAAAACTATATTTTTGCTGACTTTTGTGTAACCAAAGTGATTCAACATCTCAAGCCAGACATCAGCTTGATGATAATAAGGCGGTACTGTACGTAGAAAAGAAACATGAATATTTTTATCCGAAAAAGCAGCATCGCGTGATGATATCCCTATAACTGGTATTTGAAAGAATCCACTTGTGTAGCTAACAGCTGCTGGAGACAAATCACCTGAAGTTTGCTCATGTGATACTACAACAGCATAAACCTGTGAATGGACACATAAAAAGCAAATTATTAAACATATGATGAATAAGTAAATGCAAGTCGCACTACATAGTATGTATGGAACGCGCCTGGAAACAATTATCATTTTATGATCACCGTACACATTGGTTGAAGTGAATTGTTGTGAGAACGTATCTTGCTCTATGCAACTATTTATGAATTGCGTCAATGGCGAAATCAGTGAAATTTCGTCTTAACTAATTATTTGTTGATACATTTTTTAAGACATTGTTAGGGCAATCACAATTTGCATGCTTAATATTTAAGATAGTAGGCAAAATAAGTAAGAAAGTTATATTCGATTGCTACCGCTATTCACTTTATCAATATCAATTTTATCGTACCGTGGTAAGATCATAAATTAATAATTACTAAATTGGTGTCGGTAATTTGGTAGGGTAGCATAAAATTGCCAATATTTTCGGTTCTTATTATTGAACCAGTATTAAGGAGTTTTCACAGTTTAAGGTGAATTACTAACAGATTTTCTTTAGAATAAAACGAAAAATGAGTCATATAACCAAACACCTAACGTAATTTCGAAGTAACACATTTAGCTTCTTGCTTCTGGCTCTCCTACGTGCTAGCAGCCGCCATTACGAATATAGATTGCATTGCCATCGTAAACATCGGTCGCACATCAAAGGAGTAGATTTCTTTAGGATCTATTGATATGTTGCAGTGATATCCGCAAGTCGGAATCTTGCAAAATTTTGATCTAGATTTTTCCTACGTTGATAGGAACGAGATTGCGGTTAACATGCATACAGTGTGGATGGTAGGATAGTCGATTTTTTCGTTAGTTTTATTTAATTTGGTTCTTAATATACACTTAATACACTTAATATAATCTTCTCAATTTAGTTTGAATAGATGTCAATTGAAGGCTTGTTGCGGTTTTGAGGAGTTGGTTCATGTTGAAAACAGTTACTTCTATGATATTCAGATGATTCGGCTTAACAGTATTTGATGTTGTTAAGATTATGGTAGAGTTGGTTTCTTCAGCTTTCCTATCTGGTGCGTAGTCATTTAATATTGATTGCTTTTTTACAATCGCAACAAATGTAGTTTGGTTCTTAATATCTACGACAAGCCTTCCTCAGATCCAATAAAAATTGGAATCATGGCGTTGAAATATATATCAATAACATATAGCGCATTGAAGACACCCATCAGATGAAAAAAGAATATATGTTGGGAATTTTCTCATGTTTGGGAACTGGTGAAATAATTTCAACTGCCAAATTTAAAATTTTTTTTGGTTGTTTTTTCGTTAAATTTTTTGTTATCACAGCGTTAAAATGGCACAGGCAGGAATATTGTGCCCGCGGAGTGATTTATGCGGACAAAAATCTCTCCTCTTTTTTCTTTTGGTTTGTTGAGTGGAGATGGACTAATAATAGATTTGTGGCTTATATGTTGAGATAATAAACTGTCGTAATTTTTGGTCACAATTATGTATAAAACGCGACAAAAAAAAAAGAGTGGCCGTAATAACTGGAGCCGGTATGTTAAGGGTAATTGTGTGTGTGTGTGTGTGTAATTGCGCTCGTGATTTGACGTGGCTATGGCACCCAAATCAGAGGGCTTATCGACTGCCGGTTTACTAGGCACAATTGAAATAATTGTGTTAGCCTCTCGATTGGGTGATGAAAGCAATTTTTTCTACCCATCCTCGACTACTTAGCGTTCCCGAGGGCATGTATAAAAATCTTTGAAACCGTTTCTATCAGTAACTGTTGGTTGGGCTGTTATCCCGGGGAACACCAACCAAGAATCCAACCGAATAAATTTTAATATATATAATTCTTTTTAATTTTTTTCTTATCCCTTTTTCTTCCTCTCAATTTTTAAAAAATTGGATTACCTTCTTAAACCTCCTTTTTTTCCTTTTTTTGTTTTAAATTATCTGAATTCTCGTAAATTTTATTTTTCCACTAACACTGGTAAAGCACAAAGATTAGCCAGCTGCCTTTTGCTGAGATGTCGTATTGTATCAAGTGTGAATGAAATGTGAATGACGGGCGAAAATCAACAGTGTGGTAGACTTTCAACAATGTGGTAGACTTTCCGTAGCAACTCCTGCTATATGTAAGTTCTTCTTCTCAACAAGAAATGCAATATTTTAACCGATGCTCTAAATCTCAATCACCATTACTCTCGCTGCTTTCGTGATGTTGCTAAGTTACAAGTGTTGTTGGGCAATTTGACCCCATTGTTATTACGCCACCATCCATTTATCTAACGAAGAGCGAAAAAATCATTGACATTATAATATTTTTGAAAAGTCAGTTGATATTGATGGATTTAACAACTTATGTTTAAAGTAGTTACGTAAAGAAGGACTCGAATATTTCACAAGAATCGTAAGCAGTTGTCTCGAAATGTGTTACTTCCCGCAAATATGGAAATTTTCTAAAGTAATTTTAACTTTTAACCAAATAAACTAGTAAATTACCAGTCGATGAGCCTGATTTCGTCAGTTTGGACGGAGGAATATTGGAAAAAATGATAAAGGTGAAGGTTATTTCCTTCATTGATGAAAGTAATGTCATTCCTTCCCAACAGATTCCATTCAGAAAGGGACACAACAATGCACACTCATTTTCAAAATTCGTCATTTTATTAAATCAAAATTTAGTTCTGGAAGTTCTAATAGATTGGTTTTGTTCGACATTAATTTTGCTTTCGATTCAGTTTGGCATGATGCCGGTGCTTCACATTCGCATTTCATTCACACTTGACACAACACGTCATCTCCGCAAACGGCAGCTGGATAATTTTTGTGTTTACCGGTGTTAGTGAAAAAAAAAAAAGAAAGAGATTTTAAATATTTGAAAAAAGGAAAAGAGGGTTAATAAAGTAATAAAATAACCAAAGAAAACAATTTTAAAGAGGGAAAAGGAGGGAAGGGGGAGGAATCTCTCGTGAGAGAAAAATTAAGAAGCAATACATATATTCAATTATTATTTTTTGTTTTTTCTTTGTGATTTTTTCTTTTTGTGTTCCCTGTGATAACAACCAAAACAACATCAGCCCGTCTCCCTATGGAGACTGGGTCTGATCTTATAACTACTAATAGAGACTGTTTTGAAAATTTTTACATGAATGCCACTGGGCAAGAGATCGAAAATGGGTGAGAATAATATTCTTTTATCTGATAACGGAGAAGCTAACGCAAACGTTTTAATTCCGCCTAGTAAACAGGCTACCGACAAGCCCTCTGATTTGGATGCTACAGCCGCCCCAAATCTCGAGATTAATTTGTACGATTGCCTTTCCAACTGCAATTTTGTCGTTTTTGTCGAAACGTGCGCGGACGCAGAAGGAAATCGCATCAATATTAACTCCAATCTCTATTTCTATGATTACTTGAAGGATTTCGGTATGTACGGCTTACTAGAATTAAAAGTTGTCAGCAGGGGTAGAGCCAAACTGCTTTTCAGCTCCGCTGCCAATGCCAACAATTTTGTTAAGAATGATGAATTTAATAAAAAGAATTTAAAAGCGTACATACCGAGGTCGTTCACTGAGACATTTGGAGTTATTCGAAACATCCCATGCACATATAGTGTCGATGATATAATTAAAAACGCCGTATCCGATATTCCGATTAAGTCCGCTGTCCGTTTCCAAAGAAGAAATCCCAACAACAAAGACGAGTGGATTCCGACAACCAGCATCAAAGTTGGCTTCAAAAGGAGAGCCCTCCCTAAGGCAATAAAATTTAACTATTGTAATCTGCCGGTCGAATACTTTATACCCACTTTAAAGCAGTGCTTTAAGTGTGGCAGATACGGTCACGTATCTAAATTCTGCAAAGCCAAAGAGAGCAGGTGCCTTAACTGTGGAAAGTCTCCGAAGTGTATAAATTGTGAGGCGATGAAGTGCTTGTCCTGTGGCTCAGGTGAGCACAACGCTCTCAATAAGTGTTGCCCTAATAGGGAAATTGAATTAAACATCAACAGGATAATGGCGATTAAAAATCTTTCGTATAAAGAGGTCAAAGAGAATTTTTCCGAAAATTATTTCGAATGTCTCGATGACATCACCTATGACGACAATTTCCCTCCACTGGGGAACACGTCTGTAATTTCGACCAAGGATGATAATCAAAATGCCAACAAAATCTTAACCAAAAATAAATACAATGCTGTCGTCAAAAGGAAATTGATTCCCTCCAAATCTCTTATCAATTCACCCACCAAGCCTTCTCCCAATGCACCCCCCAAGTCATCTGGAAAAAGCCTTCTTGGACCGAAAATTTCAAACAACTATTTGCGGTCTTCAGAACTTGAAACATTAATTCTCGCGATTCAAGAAAGTATCCGTCCGATGATCCCTCATAATCTTATTAATGAATTTGAAGAAAAAATGTCTGTCTGTGCCATTTCTTGCCCCGTTCAAACACCCAGTACTGCGAGGAAATCCGCTGGGATTCTTTCTCAATTTTTAACATGATATACTTTTTACAATATAATATTCAAAGTGACCAACGTAACCTATCGTTTTTGGATTTTTACTTACACTCAAACAAGATTGATTTTTGTATCTTAAGTGAAGTTTTTCTGAAAGATGAAAATTGTTTCGAAGTTAAAGTTTCAAATTATGCCTCAGCCACCAAATGCCGAAATGATGGCTATGGTGGTGTTAGTATATTAGTTAAGAAAGGTGTCAATTTCAGACGTATTCCCTATAACTCCGCCGTTGACATCATCATCATCAAAACCATCAACCTGAAACCGAATCTTTTCATAGCCTCATGCTACTTTCCACCCAGTCTCGATGTGCAAACCTTTCGTGATGAGATTCAGAGATTATGCGACTTTCTTGACGGTGAACAAAATATGATTCTAGCTGGAGATTTCAATGCAAGACACCGCCTGTATGGCGATCGAGTCTCTACCAACAAAGGCAAAATCCTTGTAAATGCCATCAATTCCAGCAGTTTCAATGTCTTAAGTAACGGCAATACTACAT